AATGATATGCAGACTGACCATTATACGCAAGCTGGACTTAGTCCTTGAACCCAGAGTCAGCCCTCGGCCGGCAAGGGGTCACCGCTTACTTTGCACTCAGCCCAGAATCAGACCTTGACACCAACATTTCTGCAAAGGCCCGTTTTCTGCCATTTAACTTTTATCAAGTACACTGCTGTAGCTAAGTCGGCTCGGGCAAACGCACTTGCGGGAAGACCAGGCAAACATTGGTTTTCAAAAATATGACTTGCTGCTCGAAGAACCCTCCGCCCCAAACTGCAGAGCCCATGACGCTCTGCATGCCACTTCTCGGGGGGCATTCCTCGTCCCCAAGAAAGCGAGCCACTCCCCCTCCTGCCTCCCCTCGAAGCCTCAGACTTCGTGATGCTCACGTTGCCACCGGAGATGTTCATGTCCATCACTGCATCGACGGCACCTGCACGCGTGTGGCAGCGTCGCTCAACCGCTGCTTATGCCTAAATGCCCGAACCCGAAGCAGCTGCCTAAGCCCTAAACCGGAATCCCTAAAGCCTGAAACCGAAAGCGGGACTTCCGGGGCCGGGCCTGGGCCTGGTCCCCTCTATACTCCTCCCGCTGCACGCGAGTGTGAGGTCGAACTATGTGGGCAAACCACACCGCCAATATGAGAAACCTCTTGTAAAGCTCTGTGGAGATCAACCACCGCTAACTCGGCGGAACCGCAGCTTTCCTGGAAGTACACATCGGATGAATTCTTTCAGAGCAGCATTAGCGAAAACAAATGTCAGGCTGAAGAAGCACCGGCAGCTGGGAGTTTCCACCAAAGCTTTCGCGACCAGAGCTTGCGAACGTTCTGATTGATGGTTCTAATAACCCTGTGCCAGCATTCTACGCTTAAACAAGGTAGTTGCAAGGGAATCGGATCCAGGCTTGGAGCATCGACCGGATTTGTCATGCCATCGGCATGATCTCATACTGTCGGCTCTGCAGGCGAGAAGGCCGGTGAAGATACGCAAGCTGACGGCCATGATATGCAAGCTGGCCTTATTCAAATTCCTCAGAATCGGCCCCGGCCAGCAAGGACTCACCGCTTATGCTTTGCACTCAGCCCGGAATCAGCCCTCGACACCAACTTTTCTGCCAAGGCATGCTTTCTGCCATTTTGACTTTTATCAATTATTACAATGCTGTAGCTAAGTCGGCTTGGGCAAAAAGATGCACTAGCAGGAAGACCAGGCAAACATTGGTTTACAAAACAGATATGACTTGCTGCGCTACTACAGGGGCAGCATCTGTGCAAACCTCTCAAGCCTTGAACTCGAAGAACCCTCCGCCGCAAAACTGCAGAGCCCATGACGCTCTGCGTGCCACTTCTTGGGGGGGTCATCCCTCGTCCCCTGTTCCAGGACCAAGAAAGCGACCCACTCCCCCGCTGCCTCCACACAAAGCCGTACACTCCCTGATGGTCACGCTCCCGCCAGAGACAAGCATGTTCTCGGCATTGATGGCTCCTGCGCACATGTGGCAGCTATCCCAGAACCCGAAGCAGCTGCCTAAGCCCTAAACCAGAAACCCTAAACCCTGAAATCGAAAGCGGGACTTCCGGGGCCGGGTCAGGGCCTGGTCCTGTCTATACTCCTCCCGCTACACGCGAGTGTGAGATCGATAAACTTGCGAGTTGTGTGGGCAAACCCCACCGCCAACATCCGCCAACTCTACGCGCGATTTTTGTGCGAATGGAGATCTCACAAGCATGTGAGGTATGAGCAACTGAGTATGAATGTTGCAGCCGTGCAATATGCGATATCACTTTTAAGGCTCTGTGGAGATCAACGCCGACCAACTCGGCGGAACCGCAGCTTTCCTGGAACTACACATCGGATGAATTCTTTCAGAGCAGCATTAGCGAACGCAAATGTCAGGTAGCTGGGAGCTTCTGTAGGCAAAAGCTTTCACCACCAGAATAGGTGTCTTAACAAACGTACTTGCAACAGAAACGGGTCCAGGCTTGAAGCATTGACACATCGCTCATGCTAGCGACATGATCTCGTGCTGTCGGCTGTCCAGGCGAGAAAGCCGGAAATAATATGCAAGCTGACCTTGGTATGCAAGCAAACCTTCTTCCCTAAACCCAGAATCAGCCCTCGGCCGGCAAAAGGGTCACAGCACCAACATTTCTGCCAAGGCCTGTTTCCTGTCGGGCAAAGATGCACTAGCGGGCAGACGAGGCGAACAGCCCGGACCAAGAAAGCGAGCCACTCCCCCGCTGCCTCCATCCCTCGAAGCCTTAGACTCCGTGATGCTCACGCCGCCACCGGAGACGATCATGTCGTTCACGGCATAGACGGCACCTGCGGGCCAGGGCCCTAGTCCCCTCTATACTCCTCCCGCTACACACGAGCGTGAGGCCGAACAAACTTGCCCACCGCCAACTCTAAGCCGATTCCTGTGCGAATGGAGATCGCGCAAGCATATGAGATATGAGCAACGGAGTATTCATGCTGGAGCTGTGCAATATGAGAAAACGCGGCGGAACCGCAGGTTTCCTGGAAGTACACATCGGATGAGCCCTCTCAGAGCAGCAGTAGAGAACACACATGTCAGACTGAAGAAGCACCAGCTGCATCCAGCTGCTGGGAGTCTCTACAAAAGATTTCACGACCAGAACTTGCGAACGGACTGATTCATAGCTTTGNNTTGCAAGGGAATCGGGTCCGGCTTGGAGCATCGACCGGATTTGTCATGCTATCGGCATGATCTCATACTGTCAGCTCTGCAGGCGAGAAGGCCGGCAAGTTGACCGCCATGATATGCAAGCTGGCCTTATTCCTCAGAATCGGCCCCGGCCAGCAAGGACTCACCGCTTATGCTTTGCAGTCAGCCCAGAATCAGCCCTCGACACCACCATTTCTGCCAAGGCCTGCTTTCTCCCATTTAGCTTTTATCAAGTACACTGCTGTAGCTAAGTCGGCTCGGGCAAAAAATCCACTTGCGGGAAGACCAGGCAAACATTGGTTTTTAAAAATATGACTTGCTGCGCTACTGCAGGGGCAGCATCTGCCTGCAAACCTTTCAAGCCTTGTCCTCCGCCCNNGCCCCTGACGCTCTGCATGCCACTTCTTGGGGGGGCATCCCTCGTCCTCCTGTTCCAGGACCAAGAAAGCAACCCACTTCCCCGCTGCCTCCATTCTCCGAAGCCTCAGACTTCGTGATGGTCACGTTGCCACCGGAGACGATCATGTCGTTCACGGCATAGACGGCACCTGCGGGCCAGGGCCTGGTCCCCTCTATACTCCTCCCGCTACACACGAGTGTGAGACCGAACAAACTTGCGAGTTCTTTGGGCAAACGCCACCGCCGACTAAGGCAGGACACCCTTAACCCTGCAAGCTGCAAGCCTTATAAGGCCTATAAACCCTCAATCCCAAACCCGAAACTGACCGGCGCTTGCGGGGCCGGGCCGGGCCTGGGCCTGATCCCCTCTTTTTATTCCGACCCCCGATCTCGAGTTTGGAAACCTAACAAACTTTCGAAGTATTTGGGCTGTCACTCCCTACCTCCATACTCTGCACCGCATCTTTCTGCATCGATCGTCGCATTCCCACTTTGCAGTCTGCCTGCAACAGTCACAGCTGCGCAGACACTCTCAGCTTGGCTCAGAGCTCTTCACGAGCAAGCGTTCGGAGACGGCGTTTTTCTAGGTCAACACAGCACATGCCGGTCCGGCCGTCGACGTAGATGCCGCCTCCGACCCCCAAACTTGCAGCGCAGTCATGCAGAAGCAACTGGCCGCCCAGAAGTTCGGCATCGCCGCCCACGCGCAGGCAGCCTCCTTTGCCTGCACGCTCCTCGTCAGCCTCGATGTCAGCCTGATTCTGGCAGCCCTGAATGCTGAGGTGAGCTTCTGGGTGCAATGTAAAGTTGCCCTCGATGGCGACGCACGTGGTGTAAAACCTGCCGCCATCGCCGGCAGCCTTTACATTCAGTTGTCCTGCAAGGACCAGGTTGCCCTGGAAGCGCACGGGAGCCCAAAGGAGCAGCTCGGCACCTCGACAACAGCATAGCGGCGCAGCTTCCCCTAAGACTCCAAAAAGCCCAAAGTAGGTACTATTTATAGCCTTTAGACCCCAAAGTGGGTACTATTTGTATACTTGGAGCCTTAGGCTTCGACTCTCCTGGGCCTCTCCTCCCAGCTCTGAGGTTCCCACTCCCCGTCACTCGGCACGAAGGCCCCTCCACGAGGACCTCCTCCTGCTTCTTCACCTGACGGAGTCCTACGTTAAGGAGCTTGGGGCTGTGATTTTTGGGGTGGAGGTCGAACATGGTCGACGAACTACAGCGCTCCGCTCCCAGGACCCAGGAAGTGCCACACCAATTTAAACCAGATCTTCTCAGACCGGGTCTTCTCGGCAGAGTCCCCTTGCCTCCTT